ACAGCAGCAGATGTGTTTTGGTGTCTGGGGGGGAACAGCAGCAGATGTGTCTTGGTGTCCGGGGGGGGAACAGCAACCAACAGATGTGTCTTGATGTCTGGAGCAGAACAAGGTCGGGGTTTTTATTCCCCGATTTTTCTTGTCACGCAAGCATCAGGGGGTTTCAGACCGATGCCGGACCTAAAGAGGTTGAACGTGTTTATCCAAGTGAATCATTTCCGAATGGAGTCAGTCCAAACTATTATTGCCGTGATCCGGGCAGACGAATGGATGATATCCATAGACTTAGAAGATGCGTACCTGCATGTCCCGGTTGGAGAGAGGCATCAGAAGTATTTGCAGTGGCAGGACAACACTTCCAGTTCCACGCCTTGCCATTTGGTCTCGCCACAGCTCCGCGAACCTTCTCCAAAATGGTGGTGGCAGTTTCCACTACCTGGACGACATCTTGGTGTTGGGGGAAATCGAGCCAGGCTCTGGTGGTCCACAGGGACCTCGTGTTAGCAACTTTCCGGCGATTCTGTTGGTTAATCAACTATCAGAAGAGCCAGCTGACTCCAGCCCAGAGGATGGAATACCTGGGAGTGGTGCTGGATTAGTCCCGGGCGAGATTGTTCCTCCCCCATCGCCAGAGACGGGAACTGACTGTGACGGACCCTGGTACTCAGGATAAGTATGTCCGCCGCTGTCTTCTTCCTTGCTCAGGAGATATTGCAACCCGCTGATCTGTAGCTCTCAGTTTCCCCAGTCACTGGTCGAGACACAAGCGTAGGATGAAACAAACTCTGATTTATTGAGCAACTGCACAAACTTTTATACAGCAAGTGATGAGATCAGATTATAATCCCATCACATCCACCCTGCCCTCCCTAGACAATCGGTCTGCTCAACACCACAGGGTTTCCCCTGCCAACGAGCTCCAGACAGCCATAGCAGGAGCCTGGCCAGAATGTAATTGTTCTGAGCTCCTTCAGAGTGCAAAGGGAGATAACGAGGGATGGTGCTGATCGTCTTTTCATAACTAGGTCACAAATCATAACGCACTTAAACCCAACACCAATACACATTTAACTTATAAAACACATCACCATGTCGTCACACTGACCGCCTGTGTCGGAAGGGTCATCTCCTTGCCAGTATTGCCGGCCAGAGATTGCATGGTGCTTCTCGGTATGATGATCTCATGTATTCCCGTGGTGGCTTGGGCAAGATGGCACATTCGTCAATTGCAATCCTGTTTTCTGCGTCAGTGGAACAGGGCGGCTTTATCGCAACTAATATTCCTGCCCACAGCCATGCAGGGCAAACTGTTCTGGTGGATGGAGTCTCCATGCCTCTCTCTGGGGGTGGGCTCCTGGATAACAGTTACTACCGATGCCAGCCTTCAGGGATGGGGAGCACATTGCCTTAGATATCAGGTGCAGGATCGATGGAAAGGGCCGGTGGTGCCTCAGTCGAATTGGCTGGAGCTGAAGGCAGCCTCATTGGCTCTACAAGCTTTTCAGCCACTCCTTCAACACAAGCAAGTGAAAGTCATGATGGACAACAAAACAGCTGTATCGTACATCAGGAGGCAAGGGGGGGACCAGGAGTTTCCCTCTGCTCAGCCTTTCACACAAGATATTCTCCTGGGTGGAGACACAGGTTCAAGCCTTGACAGCAGCCTACTTACCGGGAGCAAACATTGTTCTGGCGGACCGCCTCAGCAGGTTTTTTCCAGAGACAAGCGAATGGAGCTGAATTCCAAATACCTGGGTCCAGTGTTTGCGAGATGGGGTACCCCATCGATAGACCTAATGGCCATGGCACAGAATGCGAAGATGGCCTGCTTCGAGACATGTCTGCCGACAGGCAATGACGCAGGGTGCGTTTTCGATCAGATGGGATTTTCCACTGGCTTACCTGTTCCCACCGGTGTCGTTAGCCCTCAAGGTGTTGCAGAAGTTACAGGAGGAAGGGGGAGCAGTTATCATTCTTCCATTTTGGCCACGGAGTCCATGGTTCCCACTGTTGCTTCAAATGTCAGTAGCCCCCCCATGGTTCTTTCCACACAAACGGGATCTATTACTGCAAGGTCACTGGCAACACCCCAACCCGAAGCGGTTGCATCTAGCGGCATGGTTGGTGAAGCCTCCAGGTGGAAGAGTCAGGGGCTGTCCGCCAAGGTGATAGAAACCTTGGGCCGGTCTAGAGGCCCGTCAACGAACGCTACATATACCAGAATTTGGCAAACATTTTTGTCCTTCGCAGAGTCAAATCACTTCCAGCCTTTGCACGCAGAATTGCCTGAGATTTTTAAAGTCGGCCCTGGATGCAGGGCTTGACTATAACTCATTACGCGTGCAAATTCCAGCCTTGTCAGCTTTTACAGGGGTCAAGTGGGCAAAGGATCCCCTGCTACGCAGATTCATGAGGGCCGCAATGAAGATAAGGCCTCCTAGGAAAGCTTTATTCCCATCTTGGGACCTGGACCTGGTCTTGGCTGCCTTGGCAGCTTTGCCGTATCATCCACTTTCTCAGTGTACATTATGGTGCCTTACTCAAAAGCTTATTTCTTTGCTGGCTATTACCTCAGCTAAACGGGTATCCGAACTGGCGGCTCTTTCCTGTAAAGAACCTTTTTGTGTGGTACTGGACGATAAAGTGATTTTGCGGCCATCTCCCGAGTTTAGGCCTAAGGTGGCTTCATCCTTTCACGCAGATTGGGAGGTGGTGCTGCCAGGTTGTCACACAATGGCACACTCTTCAGGCTCTGACTTTTTACCAGCCTTGGATTTGGTCGAGCTTATGAAATAATATCTTCACAGGACTAAAGAGTTTCAAAGGTCGGATCGTTTCTTCCTGTTACCAAGGGGCTCAAGGAAGGAATTTGGGGCCCCCCCGAGAGTGTTATCTATGTGGATTCAATCTGTCATCAAGTGTGCATACGTGAATCAGGGTCTTACTCCTCCAGCAGAATTGCGGGCTCACTCCACGAGGGGAGTGGCAACCTCTTGGGCAGCATATGCGAAGATGTCCATCAAATTTGCAAAACGGCTAGATGGAGTTCGCAGAATACTTTTGTCAGACACTACCAGGTGGATGTGGCAACAGCCAGATTGACCAGATTTGGGTCGGCAGTCCTGGCGTCAGCCTTGCAAAATAATAAATTTTTCTATCTTTGCAGTGTTCCTGTTTAGGAGTTTGTATTAGGTTTTCCCCGCCCAGTAGGTGTTTAAGCTTGCCATGTCCCATACTGTGCCGACGTTCAATCCTTTCGGCCAGCGTTTAGCGAAGACGCCGGCCGAAAGGATCCGAGCGTCGGAACAGAAGCAGCTATGCGGTCTGCATCTATGTCGGATAGCTGTTCCCGCAAGTCTGGTACGCGGTTCGTGACCGTGTACCAGACGTGTGAGCAGGCTGCGGGCCACATAGTATCGGCTCGCGGGCCGGAGTTTGAGACCCCTGATGTAGAGAATAGTTACATTAATTCCTGCAGGAGACGTTTATTTTCTTCTGGTAACATTCTTCTCTTCTTCTACAGATTGCATGATAATCATCTGACCGACATTTCCTGCCCCGACCTGGCATCTGTAATAAGAAATAATCAGACACTGAGGACACTGAACCTGTCATATAACAATCTGGAGGGTCCTCATTTCAGGGATGTGATGGAAGCTCTGACAACAAGCCGGATAGAGGGATTACAGTGAGTATAACCGGACTGACTGAGACAATAATATTCTGGGACAATGTTATATCATATATATATATATATATATATATGATGATGTCATCACTTGGATAACTAGTAATATAAATATTATCGGAGGTCATACACGGGGGGATCTGATCTCACTGTAGGGAGCAATCAGAGTCTCACACACATTTTCTTAAACTGCCCACAGTACATGCCACATTGTTCTTTTCACCCCACTCAATCTGGACTACAAACACGTCTTCTGTCTTCATCTCCAGTACATGGGGTGTGGGGGGAATTTAGTAGTTTAGAGATGATCGGTATGAAGGAAGATAACATTGTTCACAGGAAGTAATGGACATTTCTGGCAGGATCAACAGGTATTTTCTGTACTTGCTGAACATGTTATAAAGGAAACTAATGCAGCCGCAACATCTGAGGACAGGAGAGCTGAAATATGGAAGATTTTGTTTTTTGCAGTGACACTAAAATGCACAATTATTTAAAAAAAAGAAAAGGCACTTAAAAGTAGCACTGAAGCCAACATTTGTATTATGTTTTGGATAGAATAAGGGAGGGGGAGGGTGTGGAAGGGTAAGAAGGGCGGGTTATAACCACTGTTATTTTTATTTATATCTATCTCCAATTGGGGAGATTTCCCTTCACTTCCTGTCCAATAACCACAACCGGAAGTGGGAGTAAAATCCCTGCGGATATATATTGTCTCCTCCATTATCACATCCTGTGTATTCTATTTCCTGGAGTTTTATAAAGTGATGGAACATAAATGATCCCAATAAAGAGAAATGAGTTCCATTCATGTAGAGAATAGTTACATTCATTCCTGGGGGAGACATTCATTGTCTTCTGGTAACATTCTTCTCTTCTTCTACAGTTTGTATAATAATCTCCTGACAGACATTTCCTGCCCCGACCTGGCATCTGGAATAAGAAATAACCAGACACTGAAGATACTGAACCTGTATAATAACAATCTGGAGGGTCCTCATTTCAGGGATGTGATGGAAGCTTTGACAACAAGCCAGATAGAGGAATTACTGTGAGTATAACAGGACTGACTGAGACAATAATATTCTGGGACAGTGTTATATCCTATATATATAAATAAATTATAAATATGTGGATTTCATCACTTGGATAACTAGTAATATAGATGATATTATCGGAGGTCATACACGGGGGGATCTGATCTCACTGTAGGGAGCAATCAGAGTCTCACACACATTTTCTTATACCTGAAATGTCCGCCTGCTCTCCAGTATTGGGGGATCTCCCTATTACTTCCTATGAGTACAGAGCTCTGATCAGTAATGATCAATAGAATATCAGATAAAAGTTATACATCCGATGTGTGCTTGTGGTATGTCCAAAAGTCATCATACTCAATGCGGATGTTGCTTCACAGTGTATGGCTTGTAGTAGGGATGTCTCGATACCACTTTTTCAAGACCAAGTACAAGTACTGTCCCTCATGTACTTGCCGATACCAATTACCGATACTTTTTCTTAAAAAGGGACATGTGACATTTTTTCTAAAACAATACAGACTAATGATTTTAGGGCAGTTTCTCACCATTGCTGCGTGCATTGGAGGTGACAGGTTCTCTTTAAGGTGACATTATGGGTCTTTTAGACCTCTAGTGTCACCTTTCTACTTCACTGGATTCACTGAATGTATATACAGCACGCAGTGGCTGGGAGCAATAGCCAGCCTGCTATTGGATATTTTAAATTGCAATAGCCAATAGCAGGCTGGCTATTGTACCCGCCCACTGCCTGCTGTCAAACAGCAAAGGAACTGAAGACAAAGTTCTCAATCAGGTCCTCTCTGCTGAGTGACAGCAGGCAATGGGCGGGTACAATAGCCAGCCTGCTATTGTCTATTGCAATTTAAAATATCCAATAGCAGGTTGACAAGTATCAATTCCTTTTCCACTTGATGAAACCGTTTCCTTTTGGTGATATATCTCAGTGTCAGCTATCTGTGCTCCCTATGTGTTTAATAATAATGCCCTCACCAGAGGTACCCAGAAGTTTTCCCTCTCAATGAAAAAGAAGAGAAGGTACGTTCTGTGTGAAGGCAAGATTTACAGTTTCTCTCCTCTCCTCCCCATGAGCACACTGAACGGACATTCTCTTCTTTCAATGAGAGTGAAAACTGCTGTGTAGGTCGGGTGAAGGCATTACACATAAGGAGCACGGACATCTCACACTTTGTGATATATCACCAAAAGCAAACAGTTTTACCAAGTTGAAAAGGAGGGGACATGGAGGAGGAGCAGCAGCAGCAGCTAAGGTACAGGGTTAACGGGGGATTTCACAGCTGTATTCTCTTCTGCCTTCTCGTGCTGGCTACAGAGGTTTGTGAAAGGGACACAGACCGCTGCATCCAGCACCAGCAGGGAGTTCAGGCGGCTCTCTCAATCACAAACGGAGAGTTTGGGATTTAGACATCATGGACCCCTAAATAATAAATCAGTAACAGAAGGCAAAGTTGCACAAGGAATATTGAGTCATATTCCTCATTAGGCAATCACATCTAGGAATTGTAATATAAATGGATAAGGCAGTCTCTATGTCAAACAGCAGAGGCAATTCACTTAAACAGCATAGGTATATTTGTAAGAGTTGATACTGAGAGGGCTCCACTAGGTGGCAGCGTATAGGATCCAACACAAGTGCAGAATAGTCTTTAAGCAGATACTTGCAGTTTGGGTGATGAAGCAGTAGCTCAAATGAAGAGGAGTCCAGAGGAGGCTGGCTGCTGGGGGAAGAGTTGGGATCTGGTTCGGCGTGGTTCCAGGGTAACTTGAGAGGTTCCCGAGGTGTTTGGGCAATGATCCCAATAATCGAACACCCCATAGCATTCCCGGCAGGTTTAAATAGCCCGCGGCCGTGACGTCACGCGGCCGCGGCGTACTTCCGCCTTCCAGCGTGGAACGCAGAGTAGCTTCCGTCATGGGGGAGGAGGCCTGCGTCGGTCTCCCCGGCCGATACGTTCCAGCCTGGAACCCGGCGAGAGCCGCAAACCCGAGGGACATCACATTATCTGATCTATGCATCGGGGCATTTTCAGGAGTACAAGTATTCCTGAAAATGCCCTGTATCGGCCATGATACCGGTACTAGCATTGGTATCGGGACATCCCTAGCTTGTAGTGTGACATCTTTACCCCTTTTTAGGGTCTGGGGATCACTGAGGAGATTGTTGGAGGGAATAATCCCCACTGAATGGTAAAAAAAGAAAAGGTGACATACTACTACCATACACTGTGAGGAAACATCCACTTCCTGAACACGCACACGTCTGGACACACAGTACATGCTGCATTGTTCTTCTCACCCCAATCCACACCCCTAATATCTCATATTGTACTACAATCTCCATGTGTTTGGTGTATGAGGTGTATCAGCAGACAGTGTGAGGCCGGAATCAGCAAATGTCATGACAAGTAATAACTCCCAGCAATTGTCAGGACCCCTCACAAGCAAAACTCCACACAGCTCAAATCTCCCCCCTTCCCCCTCCCCCAGCACAATCCCCCCACCTCTGTCACCACACATCTCCTCCATCAGAAATCTCCCCTCTCAATACACACCTCCCCCATGCAGACCGCTCAGACCTCAGATACTAAGCATTGCCCTGAGTGTAGTGAGGGGAAGTCCTAGGGGTCCCTTGGCTGTGTCATGTGACAGGATGAGCCCAGGAGGAGCTGAGGAGACTTCCTCCTCTCTGAGCCCCCCTGTATCTGAGGTCTGAATTTCATGGAGCGGCAGCATTACAGAGGCACCTGAGTCCTGTCACAGTGTCAGGGATGATTACTTGGGGGGCACCAAAGAGGAGACCCAGAGACCTGACGGCCATGGGAGATGCTCTGGGGGAGGGGGGGGGTTTCTTTATCCCTCAGGGCACCCCAAAATAATCTAACAGGTTCCTCCACTCATTCTAATCAGGGTGGATGGACACATCTCCCATTGTGGTTATTGTATTCGGACGTCGGCCATTTTTTAGAATACATAATGAGTGATTGGCTGCAGTCTCTCTTTGCCTTAACATTTGTATCTGGCTCATTGAAGAAAAGCCAATAGAGTATTGGCTACATCACTTTTGTTGAGACTGGATTCCTATCAATCAGCCAAAAATCCAGCAGTGTAAAGGCATCCATACACCTTACAATTATCTGCAGATTTTCTGTGGTCAGATGGAAAAAGTGCAACAGATTGACCCAGGTGGAGATTACTCCATCCACACAGTTAGGTGTAGCTGGATGAATCTGTTGCACCTTTTCCATCTGACCACAGAAAATCTGCAGGTAATTGTAAGGTGTATGGTCAGCTTATGGCTCCCTTGTCCTGCTGACTTGAACTACAAACATGTGTTCTGTCTTCATCTCCAGTACAAGGGGTGTGGGGGGATTAAGTAGTTTAGAGATGATAGCTTGGAAGGAAGGAAGGAAGGAAGGAAGGAAGGTAAAGTTATATACAGGAAGTCATAAGGAGATTTCTGGCAGGATCAACAGGTATTTTCTGTACTTGCCAAAAATGTTATAAGGAAAACTAATGCAGCCGCAACATCTAATGACAGGTCAGCTGCAATATGTGATTTTTGTTGGTTTTTGCACACATAGTAAATTGCACAGTTGTTAAGCAAGAAAATGCACTTAAAGTAGAACTGAAGCCAAAAATGTGTTTAGTTTTGGATAAAGTCAGGGAAGTTTATAACCCCGTCAGCTTTTTTTTATATATCTGTGTCCCATTAGGGAGACTTCCCTTCACTTCTTGTCCAATAGCCATAACAGGAAGTGAGAGTATATCACTCCTAAATGAGGGAAATCCCTGGGTGGGGTCTTCAGAATTACCATTACTAGGTCCCCATTGGAAGATTTCCCATCTATTCCTGTTCTAATGACAACTCACAATCTGGGAATTTCTTTCACATTATGTAATAATGGGGTTTCCAGGACACATAGAGAGGGGCGACTCTCCCTGACAGGGACACAGACAGCAATAATAACCTGACAGGGAATCTAATCCTCCATTCATCCAAACATCAAATAAAGGTTTCACTTTAAATTCCCAAAACCTGATCTATTCAGTAATAATGGTCCCCAGGACACATAGAGAGGGTCTCCCTTCCACTTATCCAAAACAAATAAAAGTTTTAGCTTCAGTTTCACTTTAAATCCCCAAAACCGGATCTATTCTCTGACAGCGGAATACAAACATGGTCGCTGCAATTTTGATGTCACATGATATCAGTACAATTGTATAAAGTTCTATTTTCAGTAAAATACATTCAGAGTGATTTTAGTGACACAGACACAATAAAATGTGAAATGTTCTGTAAATGATAAAAGATGAGACTGAGTCCAGGAAATAGATCCCAGAAATGTCTGCACCTAATACTGCATGAGGCTGCAACACAGCAGCAACTATGAGACCCCAAACTGTCCATAGGTGAGGATATAAAACCTTCACAGCTCATCAATTTATAGATCACTGTTACCGATTGTCCTCCAATCATTCCTCTTACTATGACGTGTTCATCAATATGTAATATGTGTCTCCAAATCACCATTTACATTCTCTTACATTCTCTGCACCGTATGTGTGTATTTGACTTCATATGTGCGGGGGCGGGGTCTTTAACTTGTTTGTTTTTTTAATTCATTTTTATACGTTTATCATTTTTTTACTTTTTATTTATTCACTAAACTTTATTGCTATTAGGGGCTGACAATCCTCCCTGTAATAGCATATATGGAGTGCCAGGTACTCTTTCTGAAGGCATCAGAGATCTCCTGGACCTCTAATGCCTCCTCTGCACTACCCCAGCTAGACTGAGTACAGACTGTACTTGATGAACTGTTTTCCTGGTCACAATCTGACAGCCCTGAACCTGGAGGTGCTCAGAGTCGAGTTCTTCCGGGTTCATTGCTCCTAGGAGGGAAAAGATGTTTCTCATCTCCCTCCACTTACCTGATAGGGATCATAGATGTCCGGGCTTCTAGAGGGTATAGGTGAGCCTGAAGCCGGGTAT